GTGGTGGACCATCCGTTTGACCCGTGCTCTGCAGTGGTGCGTAAATAGTTGATAATAGTGACGATATAGTAATATATTGGTCAGGGAAGAAAGTGCTATAAAGCCAAAGTACAAAGATAGGCAAGCATACTATTATAAACGATTTGTTTTGTTTTTGTGACTATGTTTATATAAATAACTGATTTTTTAACAACACCTTCAGTAAATAATAATAAATACGAGAAGGGTACACAGCCTGTCTGCCTTGAGTGAGCTGCCCAGGGTGCACGTATAGCACGCTCCCTATTTTGAACCGACTTCAAAAAAGGAGGAGGTTCTCTATTCGACTGTACGTTTTTTTTTTGTATGTATGTTACGCGATAACTCCGGTATTAATGAACCGATTTTCATAATTCTTTTTTTGTTGGAAAGGGGGTACTTCCAAAGTGGTACCGCTTCATTTTGAAGAAAATCATCCACCTCTAAGGATGGCTGTTCGCACATGAAGATTCATTTTTATAAATAGCGCCTAAATTTTACTTATGGAGCAATTATTTTAATGGTTGATTTTGCTATTTCTCCAATTCAAGGCGTTTTTCTCTCAATATACTTTGAGTAGTGAGAACCGATTTTTGTTATCTCCAGTATCAAGTCCTGTATAGTGGCGAACTAGGGGATATTTCTATAAAACTTAGCAAATAGACGTAATTCCATGTACTTTAAGGTCGGTTTTTTAATACTCAGTACTGAGATTATCTAGATACGACTAGAGCTGTAGGCACGCTCACTTCCCCTTGCGTATGGCGCAACTAACAGTTGCCACCGCTAAACCGTTGACTCTAAAGTCCATTACCAAATTTCCACTTTGGTAGCGGAGCTGTATACACGCTCACCTCCCGACACCGAAGCGTCTCTCCAGTTCCATGAACTTTTCTAAATTGGTTCTGGTATGGGTGTTCTGGATAGTGGTCGTGTGAGTTGCACTCTGGTTTTCGTGGTTTTGCAATTTCTGAGGTTCCGGGTTCGATCCCCGATCGGGTCAGTGCAGCCAGCATCAGTGATCGAGTGGCTTGCTCACCAGTTTGCATGGTGTCGCCATCTCTGTGGTCAATGCAGAAACACTAACTTTTCTATATTGTCTCGGGTCTGAGTGTTTGTGCTGCGGTCGTTGTTTCCGATTTCCGTAATACAATTGCTTTAGCTACTTACTTTGCGATCGAAAGAATGCATGGGATGTTGTCTAATAATATTATTTTCACCTCACTATCTCAGAAAGGCTTTCTTTCTCATTAGAAATCTGCGCGCTAAAGTGTTTTTTCCACGCAAGCATGGAAAAGGTTTTTGAAATTCGAAGTTGACGATGGACTGTGATGCACCTAACTTTTTCTTTCGATGAAGAAAGAAAAACATACTGACACGTTCAACTTCGCGATTTATCGTACATTATATATGTAATATAAATCCGTTGGTATATTTTATTCTTATTATTGATGACATTACATTGACAACAATAACTAATTTTGTTTATTAAAACTGATCTGTAGTTCAATTGTTTTTGTTTCATTTACCATTTTCCTCGCTATAGTGAGGTGAAAAGTTGTGTTTCGTCCGGTAGCGAAGTTGTTTTTTGTCTCGTGTCTTAAAACC